ATGATGTGATGGCAGAAGGAGGATAAGAGAGATTCGCCATTGCTGGCTTTGAAGATGGAGGAAGGGGCCACGAGCTGAGGAATGTGGGGGGCCTCTTGAAGCTAGAAAAAGGAAAGAGATGGACTCTCCCCTAGAGGCTTCAGAAAGGAACAAGCCATACTGGCACCTTGATTTTAGCCTAGTGAGATCCATGTGGAACGTCTGACCTACAGAACTGTAAGATAATAAATTTGGGTTGTTTTAAGTCACTAAATATGTGATAATTTGGTATCGAATCAACAGGAAACTAATACGTACACCAATGTCAAAAAGGTTCTGGAGAAGATGAGGTGAAATAATGAATTTAAAGTCTTTAGCATGATGCCTGGCCCATAGTAAGCCTTCAATAAATGTTACCTCAAAGACCCCCCCCCCGCCCAGTTCTATAGAGTTGAGGAGGGTACATGAGAGAGTACGAGAGCTGTGGCAGAGGTGGAGTTTGGCAAACTTCTGCCATCTGCCACCTGCAAAAGAAAAGGCATCAGGTGTCTGGGGCCAGGGAGGAGGGCAAGTTTCAGGGAGTCATTCACTTTTTCAGGTAAATGCAGACACTTCCCGCCCTCCTTGGTGGACACTGCTTCTATTAGGAACATCTCTTCAGTGACTATTGGAAAAATTTCTGGAAAGATTCCGGAATGTCTTGGATCAGTTTAAAGAGAAGCTCTGAGCAAGGAAAAGAATTGTGGAGGGACACGAAGGCAAAAGGAAAGACAACGTTCCTGTTCTTACGATATTTATATTCTAGTGGGAGGTGACAGAATATAAATAAGTACACACCAAATAAACAAGGTAATGTTGGATTATGATATACGCCATAAAGGAAATAAAGAAGATGATAAGATAGAAAGTGGCTAGGGGAGTAGGATTTCTTCAGATGGTGTTAGAAAAGCCCTCTTTATGGAAGTGACATTTTAGCCAAGACTTCAAAGATGAGGAGATTCCTTGACCCTCACCTGCAAATCCCTATAGACAGGTATTCTTGGTTGCAGGACAGCATATGCCAAGGCCCTGGGGTGGGAGTGGGGAGGCAGGGAGGGACAGCTTAGTGGGTTTGTACTAGGAGCATGGGGCAGGGACCAGATCCCAGGCTGTGCAGACCATGATGAGGACTTTCAGCTTATTATAACCACAGGGAATCTAATGAATCAGCAGAGGTACTTTTTTTTGGTGGGAAGGACAAAGGAGGGAGAAGCTTACTGTGTGCAGATCCTTTTCAGCTGGTGATTTGCTCATTCAACTTACAGTTCCACCCTGATGGTCAATTGAGGGAAACTTGTTGACTAGACTGTCTTCCTCTTCTTGGTAATTATTAATGTTTTTGGAGTGCTTAATTTGTGTCGGGCTCTATATGAAATGCTTTGCATTCATTATTTCATTTAACCTCCACCCAGGAGATGAGTACGTTCTGTTATTGTCTCATTTTACAGATGAGGAAGTTAAGCCGTCAGCGCTGGACACAGCTAGGCACATATGGAACTTCGCCCTTGGTTTCTCTCCCGCCTCCATTTTACCTGCTCCAAGTCTGCTCACAACTGCTGTCATCCACTATCATCAGTGCCCGCTTCAGTCAGCAAGTGCGATGGCCTTTCCTGAGAACCACTCCTCCCCAATTTTCCTTTCGGTCCTCTTTTTCTTAAATGTCACCCTTCTCTGGCTTCTGTACACTGGTTCTCTTCCAATGCTCTCTGTCCTTTGAGCTGGCCACCTTGTTCTCCGCAGACTTCTTCTCTTGCACCCTTTTTCCTAGAATGGCCCTGCCCACAGATCCCACCATCACTAGCTTTCATTTACATTTTCTCTTAAGATTGAGACAAGCACTTCTAATTTCCTGTTCCAGCAGAGTAAACAAATATTTGTTTTTTCAACTGACAATAGTTTCTGAGCACCTAGCACGTGCAAAGAACTGTGCTAGGAATTGGTGAGAATACAATGGCTAGGACGGGGTCTCTGGGGCAATGGAGTGTAGGCTTCATTTTTGTTCACATAGCTATGTCTCCAGAGCTTAGTTAGTGTAGGGCCACACATGCCGTAAGTAGTCAGTAAATATTTGTTATATGAGTAGTTTAGCTGGGAAGGCAAACTTGCACATAAATGGCTCAGATTCAAGGCTGAATGAAGAAGAAGATGTAATAAAGATACCAGCAAGTGCTGAGAAAGCCCAACAGAGTAGACAAGCAAGGGGAAGTCTTCATGGAAGTGACTTTGGCATTGAGCCTTTATTTTTTAAATTAATTTTTTTAAACATCTTTATTGGAGTATAATTGCTTTACAACGGTGTGTTAGTTTCTGCTGTATAACACAGTGAATCAGCTATACGTATACATATATCCCCATATCTCCTCCCGGCATTGAGCCTTTAAATCCCTTCAAGTCCCAGGGGTGTTCAAGAAAGAGCAAGTGGTCTGGTGTGCCAAGCATGATATAGGAAGTAGTGGAAGACGGATGACGTGAAATGGTGTTTCAGGAATCTCACTCTGGTGCCAGTGTAGAGAATGACTTTTGGGGGAGAGACTGGAAGTGGCAAGACCAGTAAGGAGGCTGCTGTACCATCCAGAAGAGTGGTTGCCTACCCAGATGTGGCCAGTGGCAGACAGAAAGCAAAGGAGGGAGGGTGGATGCAAGAATACTATCGAAATAGAATCCTCAAAGCTTGGCATTTAATTAGATGAAGAGGTATGAAGGAAAAAGCAGGGACTAATGGCTAATTCACCTGGGTAACTGCATAATGGTGCTGACATTTCCCAAACCGGGAATAGTGGAGGAGGGGCAAATATGATAGAGACTATAGAAGAAACTAAGATTTCTTTTGACATCTTAAATTAGAGATGCTGGTCAAGAAAATAAGTGGAAATATATAGCATAAATCTGAAAACAAAAGCTGGATTTCAAGAAATTTGGGAGCTTTCAGTGCTGATGGAGGCAACTGACACCATGGGAGTGGATATGATTTGTGGGAGAGAACTTCACTTAAGCAGAAAAGAGGGCTGATGGCTGTGGACACCTCTTGAACATTTCCATCTTTTTGTCCTGTGGGAGTCGCAAATTCAGCATGTCCAAAGTGAACCTTTTTCTCTCGTCTTCTCTCGCTGTGCGAATGGCACCAACCACTCTGTTAGTCACTCTGGCTCAAAACCTCAGTCTTTGCCTCCTCCCTTAATTCTTTACACAATGTTTCACCTACAGAAAATTCTGAAAATCCACAAAAGCAACAGGTAGCAGAGACAGTTCCCTTATAATGGAACTATTTTGGATGATAGGTAGTGTATCATTCGGGTCATATTCCTGTGCAAGTATAGATTTAGTTTCCTTTATGTATGAATAGAGTCATAAGCTACATTTTTAGACTAACCTTTTTATTAAGGTACAACCATCATACAGAAATGTACACAAGAAATTGATGACTTTTCATGTCATTAAATATTCTTCCACAGTCAATTTCAAAAGGCTGCAAGGTATTCCATCCCATAGACGTTATTTGATAACTAACCCCTGTTGTAGGATGTCTGGCGTTTTTCTAGTCTTCTCCCTCCTTCCTCCACGATGCTACAAAGATGAATTTACCTGTATTTAACATTTCTGTGCCCATTTCCAATTTTTTCTTTAGATAAAATTCGTAGAGGCAGAATTTCTGGGTCAAAAGGTATGTGCATATTTAAAAATCAACTTTTTATTTCAGAATAGTTTTAGGTTTCCAGAAAAATCCGAAAGTACTACAGATAGTCCCCACATACCCCGTATTCAGTTTCTTCCGTTATTAACATCTCACATTAGTGGAGCACATTTGTCACAATTAATGAACCAGTGTACAGACATTATTATCAACATTAACTGAAGTACATAATTTATCCAGATTTCTTTAGTTTTTACCTAACGTCCTTTCTCTATTCCAGTATCTCATCAGGATACCATATTACATTTAGTTGTCATGTCTCCATAGGCTCCTCTTGGCTGTGACAGTTTCTCAGACTTTCCTTGTCTTTGAAAATCTTGACAATTTTGAGGAATACTGGTCAGACATTTTGTAGAATGCCCCTCACTTGGGGGTTGTCCACTTTTTCCCTTTTGATTAGACTGGGGTTATGAGTTTTAGAAGGAAAGTACCATAGAGGTAAAATGCCATTCTCATCATATCATATCTAGTCCACATACTGTCAACATGATTTATCACTGTTGACGTTAACCTTGATCACCCGGCTGAGGTAGTGCTAGTTTCTCCACTGGAAATGTTACTCCACTGTAGTTGTTTCTGCACTCTAAAAGTTACTCACTTCCCCCCACTTTCCATATTGTACTCTTTGGAAGGAAGTCACTGCACAGTCCACATTTAGAATCAGGAGTTATGCCTCAGGGTGGAGTATCTATAAAAATTGTTTGGAATTCTGCACCAGAGACTTAGCTCTTCTTTCCCATTTATAAATTTATTTGTATCAGCAATTGATTTATACCAGTTTGACTATGGATATTACTTTTACACTTCAAGTTATAATCCAATACTACTTTGTTTTGTTACTCAAGCATGTGTATCTTTAATAGTCTGAGCAACTCACTCGTGCTACCCCCCCAAAGGTTGTACAATTCGCATGGTTAAGAATGAGGACCCATTTCCCTAATTTCACACAGCCTGTATAAAGTAGGTCAGCGATCAAGGGCAAGGCCGACGCCCCTCCCTAGCGCCCAATTTCCTGACGCCTCCAAGGCAGATGAGGCCTGCATGGGTAGGCCCTTCACCAAGATGGGCACCTCAGCCCCACGGGAACCCCCGCTCCAGTCAGCCCCTGAACACCGCCCCTCCCTGCCCCCTTGCTTTTCTTCCGGGTTCTCGCGGCCCCGCCCCCAGGGGGCGGAAGTGGGTGCGGCCGCGAGCAGGAAGCGCTGGGCCGGGGCGGGCCCTCTCGCGCAGCCTGTCCCTCCCATTCCACCACCGCCCCACCCCACCGCCTCAGACCGGAAATGAGGTCACAGAGGGAAGCCCCGGCGGGGAGACTCGGCCCCAAAAGCCGCGGCCGTCGGAGGTGACTGCGGCAGCGGGTGAGGGGGACGGGGAGTGAGGGGGTCGGGGCCCAGGGGGCCCGCGCCAGCGGGGATCGGCGCTCCGGGCCGCGGCGGAGCCGCCACGGGCGCCATGGGGCCCCGGAGGCCTGCGGGAGGAGAGAGGGTGGCGGGGCCTTATTTTTCAGGGCCCATCTCCCCGATCCGGGGGATGAGGGCCGGGCCATTTCCCGGGCGACAGTCACCTTCTCTCTTCTCTAGTGTCTGGCTCTTTTGAGCTGGCGACAGCGTGAGGGCTTGGTGTCCCGAGTCGTGGTCGTCCTAGTCCTCGGGGGCGGGCCCGGGCGTGGGGGAGTCCTTCGAAACACGCTTTTTCTCACGGATGTGGCCACGTTGCGACCCTTGAGCACTGAGGGAGTTTAGTCGCCAGGACTTGCGTTTTGGCAGTTTCTGCCCTGGAAGGGCTGACCCCCTGCCCCTGGTCACCCAAATTGAGAAGTTGCCTCCTGCCTCCCCCAGCCCCTCCCCCAACCCGGTCCCCCCACCCCACCCGACCGTGCGCCTGCCTGCCTCTCTTTTTACTTCTGCTAGTTTCTCGTTCCTTCCGTTGCGTGCCTCGGACAGCCTTTGTCTCCCCGAGTGCTTGCCTGGCCCCGGGACCCTCTCGGACTGTGCCTCCAGGGAGGGTGGGAGTTCCAGTGTTCTTCTGTCACCTTCTGTTCGAATTGCAGCCTTTGAGCCTGGCATTCGACTGCACAGCCAACTGCAAGTTGTTTGGTAACTTCGTTTCACGTTAAAGTTTGTACAGTTCTGCTTGAGCTTTTAAAGCAGTAGTTCTTTATTAGGGAAATAGATTTAGATAAGTGCGTCCCCACTTATCTATTTTGGTTTTAGAGACAGTTGTCTCCCAAACCCCAGCCATGGTGTTTTAAACTACTTATTGCTTAAATGAGTGTGGCTTTTGACACTTTGAGTTTTGTTTGGTTGGTAGTTTGGGACTAGGTGTCCCCGTTGCTCCTCCTGCCTTTAAATTGCTTGGCATAAGGATAGCATGAAAATAGATTTTAGAAAGTCCTTTGCAAAATGTAAACTGTGTGAAGGGAACTATGGTCTGAGAGTGGTGCCACAGAGTTTTAAGCTCTAATTATGGTCTTGAAATACGTTGGACTTAACAAGGGCTAGGGAAAAGGTGCTAATTTAAATTTTTTTTTTTTTTTTTTTTTGCCGTACGCGGGCCTCTCACTGTTGTGGCCTCTCCCGTTGCGGAGCACAGGCTCCGGACGCGCAGGCTCAGCGGCCATGGCTCACGGGCCCAGCCGCTCCGCGGCATGTGGGATCCTCCCGGACCGGGGCATGAACCCGTGTTCCCTGCATCGGCAGGTGGACTCTCAACCACTGCGCCACCAGGGAAGCCCTAAAACGTATTTAATTAGATGTACGAAGTATATTAAACGTTTCCCTTTAAAAAGGCATTTTGAAAATCCCTCCTCCTGCGCTCAGCCTCTGGAAGGTTTGCCTATGAAGTGATCCCTGAAATATGATGGTTTGACAAGAATGAGTTGAAAAACAGGAAACTTTGGAAAGCTGTTAGCTAGAAATCTTAGAGACTCCTCTTATCCTTGTCATTTCAACCTCAGTTATAATGTGTTTTTTGTGTGACTGGCACTAAAGCACAAAACTTGGATAACACTTAATTTATTTTCTGAAGGATGGCAAGAAGACTTAAAAGTTGCTAATTATTCACAAATATATGACATACTCTTTAAGGGTCTTTACCCGGTAGCTTTTGGGTGGTAGTTGGGACCAGAATGGGTGCAAACTTGGTCCTTTTTTTCCATGCAGAGTACAAACCTGGGTCACTACAGATTCTTGGAACACTAAAACTGCAAGCAGCCTTCCGTAAAGTGTGTCACTAAGTTGTCTTTCTCTTCCTGCCACAAACATTCTTATTAGTGACCCCAGACCATAGAACGGTCTTTTCATCCATGGTTTTGAAGTTGAGTGTTTTTCTGCTCCTGTTTGGACAGATGAGACATTCTCTAATCTTTTTAGATCTGATCATCAGGTAATTTAGTTTAGCAAGTTTAGTTGGGGGAAAAGGGGAATGACCGATTTATTCCCCTGAGTTTGCTTGTTTTTACTAATAACCCAGTTGTCATCTGGTGAGTATTTTGAGTTTTTGTGCTTTAAGAACATGCTGACTTCAGGCATTTAACAAGGGCCACATACCTATTCTTAATGGCTTAAGGGAGTATGGATGGTAGGAATAGAGTCTAAGGGTAGCCAGGTGAAAGGTGACTTTATTTTCTGTAGACAGGGTGGACTCTGCAGTGCCATGATCTGTTTGAAAAATTATTCAAAAACAACAGATCCTATTCAGTCTTTCTTCTTTTTTCTCTTTTTTGAACCTCCTTTTGGCAGATGTGGCCTCATGGATGAGCTGGTACATGACTTAGCCTCAGCCTTGGAGCAGACATCTGAGCAGAATAAGCTTGGTGAGCTGTGGGAGGAGATGGCGCTGAGCCCTCGGCAGCAGAGGCGGCAGCTTCGCAAACGGAGAGGCCGGAAGCGCCGTTCAGACTTCACTCACCTGGCAGAGCATACCTGCTGCTACAGTGAGGCCTCTGAGTCAAGTCTGGATGAGGCCATCAAGGACTGTCGAGAAATGGCCCCAGTCACCAATTTTAGTGACTCTGATGACACTATGGTAGCCAAACGTCACCCAGCTCTTAACGCCATTGTTAAGAGTAAGCAACATTCTTGGCATGAATCTGACTCTTTTACTGAAAATGCACCTTGTCGACCGCTGAGGCGCCGACGGAAGGTGAAGCGCGTAACATCGGAGGTGGCTGCCAGCCTTCAGCAGAAGCTCAAGGTGTCAGATTGGAGCTATGAGAGAGGCTGCAGGTTCAAGTCTGCTAAGAAGCAGCGTCTGTCCCGCTGGAAGGAGAATACTCCCTGGACCTCATCAGGTCACGGGTTGTGCGAAGCAGCAGAAAATAGGACTTTCCTAAGCAAAACGGGAAGGAAAGAAAGGATGGAGTGTGAAGCAGATGAACAAAAACAGGGCTCTGATGAGAATATGTCAGAATGGTGAGATCTCCCTTACTAAGTCATAGATTTTCCTGGTTAACTTTACCTAAAGCATAAATCCACAGTCTTGATGAGTTCAACTTTCTTTCAAACCAGCCTTTGTAATACTGACTTTGTAGCTCTGCTTTAACCAGTCAGGTTGTGTGTAGCTTCTTAAAGTACACTCATGATCCTGTTTCCCTACATCAAGAAGGCTATATTTTATAGAAACACATTTGTTTCTAAAAACCATTTAAAACGTGTACCTCTTATTTTAAAAAACATTTTGCTGCTCTTTGTGCCACGTAGTTCATACACAGATACTGTTCTTTAGAACCAGGGCCTCAGTAGAGGCTGGTGTGTATATGTATGTATGAGAAAGAGAAAACGCGGGTGCCAGGCATATGGAGTTTGTAAATGTTCTTGGTAAGCTGCCTTTACCCATTAAGAATCATGGCTTTAGATGTTTCTGGACTATAATTCTCTTCTCTGCTACTTACAGTTTGACTGTATTGAGTTTAACATTCAAGTTGTCCGAACACATGGTAGGCTTTGAAAATAACAGGGCTAAATCCCATCAGTCTTACACCAAATGTCATCGAGCCAGAAAAATCTGTCTTGAATGGGTGCATGTTTAAAACGTCAGTATAGTTTTTGGTGACTTTTAATTTTTTACATCTCAGATAGTCCTAGGGACACTGATACTCCCCAGCTTGATACTTTAATATCATTATTAATATTAATGTGTGATATCTGTTTCTCAGTGTGGATGCTGTTGATGTTTTGGGTGGGGCAGTTCTTTGTGGTGAGGGATGTCCCATGCCTTGTAGGATAGTTGCCATCCCTACGTTGTTCCCATCACCCTTCACAGCATCAAAACAAATGCCTCCATGGGTGCTCCCTGAGTGGGTTGAGTAGTCCCAATTGAGAGCCAGTGTATTCTATTATTGTTAATATTAGTTAGCATTTATTAAGCGCTAACTGTGTGCCAGGCACTGTGCTATTGTGTAGAACATATATTCTTTAATGTTCATAACTCCCCTGTCTGGTAGGTACCACTATTTGTATTTTATAGAAGAGGAAATAGAGGTTATGAGTGTGCAGGTAATTTGCCCAAGGTCACCTAGTAGCAAAACTGGGAATCAAACCTGATTCCAAAGCTCATAGTTAACCACTATGTTTTGCTATGCTTTGAGCTTGCCTTTGCCATGGCACGTTTTCTGTCTCATCTGAACTTTTACAACTGTAGAACAGATGACCTTTCTTAGGACTTGGCTTCTTCTGACGTTTGTCTGAAAAACAAAGGCATAAATCTTACAGACTTGAAGGTGAGGTTTTGTCAGTAACAGGAAAAGCTGTTCAGGTTTGTATGCCTGTACTTTTCATGGGTGGTTTTAATCAAGTTTTTAAAATTTTTCTTAACTAACTTTATATTTGCCAGGCTGTGCAACTAGGTAGGCTTATAATTTGGCTTTCCTGATTTTCCTCTAATGTATATTCTAAGGCCTATTTACCCAATTTATATGTATAATTTTGGATTATAAAGCTTTTTTCCTTATCATGCTATTTTTAATCAAACAAGAAATGCCTAGTTAACTTGTATCCTTCACACTGTTGAAACCCTCAGTTGAGGTGTTCAAGTTTGTTTCAACGTCAAGCTTACATACCAAATAGTAATCATCGTACTGTTAAGAATGTTTTGGGATGATATTTTTGGATGTATGTATTCCCCAGAATTTCTTGCTAAACTATGACTTAATTGTGTGTGTGAGTGACTGTTAACTCTGTCTTCTCTAAGATCACAGCCCAAGTGTGGTTCCAGATGCAGAGCCTGTAACCTCGCAGTGAGGCACTTCAGTCTTTCTAGGTCCTTCTTACCTCAGATACATCTGTTGCACATTATAGTCAGGTTGTGATAATATACATCTAGAGCTTGGAGAAATTGAGGTAGGCAGCAATTTACTCTTTCAAAAATCTGCTTGGATGTGCCAGTTTGTTTGCATACAGATCAAAGTGTAGAACTTTATATCAGAGGTATTGAGGGTTGTCAGAGTATATGATCCAACTTGTGAAATTATTAAGATGAAGTTGATCATTAAGCTTTACTTAGCCTAGTCAATAGATAGAGTTCTTTTAAAAAGCATATGTTGGGCTTCCCTGGTGGCGCAGTGGTTGAGAGTCCGCCTGCCGATGCAGGGGACATGGGTTCGTGCCCGGGTCCGGGAAGATCCCACATGCCGCGGAGCGGCTGGGCCCGTGAGCCATGGCCGCTGAGCCTGCGCGTCCGGAGCCTGTGCTCCGCAACGGGAGAGGCCACAACAGTGAGAGGCCCGCGTACCGGGGAAAAAGAAAAAAAAAAAAAAGCATATGGTAGGTGTTTTAGGTTTGAAAATCTGTGTCTCAATCAGAGAGCTTTATTTCTACTTTCCTTAAATTTATTCTGCTAACTAAACATAGAGTAATTTTAAGCTTAACCAATAATTCTTTTCGCTTTTCTGTTTCTGTTCTTCCTTCCATTCTATACCAATCAATCCCTCAGGCGTTCTGAGGAACTGAAAGTGGTTATGATGTAATAGTTTTTTAAAGCCTTCAAAAAGCTCAGTTATTATTTTAATATTTTTCTTTGCATGTGTGTTCCATTCTGAAATGGATCAACTCTTTTGTAAGATTACTTTCTACTGATCTTTATTCAAATTGTCTATATAGCAGCTATTAATTAGGTGAGTTATAGCCTAATTTTGCTTTATTCTTCACTAATACAGCATTCATTTGTTCCCCTTGAATATAATTTAGCTTCTTTTCTTTCATAAGTGAATTGGTTTGGTGATGGCCTGAAGTCACAGTCAGGAGCCTTCCTAAGGTGATGTATTAGAAGCCGATCTCACAGGAAAGAAAATATTCCCTTCTGTTGGAAGCCGAGTGACAGAGATAGAGTGCTAAACCTTCCCCCTCCTTCTCTAGCCCAAGCTGACCTTCTGCGCCCCTTGGTGCCTCTTGTTTTCTTATTTTTATAGAAAATCAATATCCTTTCTGACACAAACAATAGCTCAGAAGCAAGAATAAATGGTAGAAAGCTGAGATCTCTGTCCATCACCTCTCACTTTAACTCCCCCAAACTCTTTAATTATGAGGGTGCTTTGCTCCAGGTGTTTGCAACAGTAAAATTGCTAAATGAGGACCATTTTAACCAAAGATTGGGTGATCAATAACACTTTATAGCAGTAGCTTGTTGGATCAATAGCGTTCATTATTTCATGGTTAAGGTAAGTAGCCTCCTTTGCAAGTGGAGGTCATTAATCAGGGGTTACTGGAGCTGTGGAAAAGACTCTGTGTGGTAGGTTGAGAATGTTCTGTTTTCTGTTCTGTAAATAGGGATGCTGACCAAGAGGATATTTACCATTGTTGAAGATTGTACCGTTGCAGTTGAGAGTATTGAGTAGCTAGCATAGAGTGCTTCTGTAGATTTATTCAAAGCTCTGCTACTATATCCTTAGGAACAACTGAAAAAAAAAAAACAACTTGGGAGATAGATTTGATACTATTGTATTTGAAGATCTGTCTCTTGAAAGAAATGTTAGGATTATTCTGTGACTCCAGAGGAAGGAACTAGGACTCATAGGTAAAAAGTACAGCGTGTGAAGTGTTGCCTCAGTATAAAATATAACATTCTAAAAATTAGGACTCTGTAAAAATGAACTGAGTTGTTTTACCAGGTGATGAGTTCTATGTCACTGGAGGGATTCAAGCCTGGGCTTGGTGACCACTTACTGAGTTGTTGTAGAGTTGGAGAGTTTGAACTGAATGACTTCTAAGGTCCCTTGCAACACTGAGATTCTGTAATTCTTTTCAGTCACAACCTCCTTCCCATCATTGTAATTTCATATTTTAAAAAGCATCTGATAAGCAGCCTCAACTGCCCCTAAAATATTTATGAAGACATAAAACATTGCAAACTCACATCACCAGAGATCAGGACTTACAGCTGGCTTACTGCCAAGATTTTCTCAAAGTCCGAGGCTGATAGAACTGCGCTAGAGAGTGCAGTTGGAAGCCCACAGCAGTGCTAAACCTGCCCTGAAGGTCGGTAGTGAGGCCCTGCATTCTTCCTCTATAGTCTGCCCTTGGTTCAGGAAGGCAGGGTCCGGTTCAGTCAGAAAATTGGGCAGCTACAGTTTGAGCCAGAGTGTTGTTCCACCCTTCACTTGCCGTCAGTTATCTTTCAGTTTCTCTTGGGAGGCTGTAACTCCCAGAATATACTTGGATAGGGAATCGTAGTGTTTTCTGTGTGTGTATTTGTTTTGAGGGATAGGAGGCAGTCATAGCATATTGAGTTCTGGGAAATACAGTTTCCAAGAGTAGTTTACTGTTGGCATGGACAGAGAAGGAAAAAACACTCTTAGTAGTAGTGCATTCTGGAAACTGGAGTGTTTTATATAACTTCATTTATTGTAGACTCCTGGAATGGGCCCAGAATCAGGCAGTGAGGGTCAGAAGAAGATCCTTTCTCAGTCCCACATAGCTACATGTGACAAAAGCCTACCAGTGACACTGGGGATTAGGCTAGGGGCTCTGCACATCCTCTTGGCCAGTTGTAGATGTGACAAGAGCTTGTTACCTGTATCCAAGGAAGTAGAGGATGGAACCAGGGGTAATTTATATACCCTTTCTGTTGGCAAATACCAAATTTTAGGTAAACCGGTTCTCAACAAGAGGCTTTTGGACAAGTTATGCAGAATGAGGGAAAGGGAACATCATCCTGAATGTTCAGTGGAAGAACACATCTTTGAAAATGACTGCCAGTGGAAACCAGAAGAACATTTTAGAAAATCTTCATTAGGATGCAAGGAGATATAATCACTTTGAAACAGGAGCAGTAAGTCATAAGGACAGAAAGATAGCTATTTGAAGCCCAGTAGTATGGGAGGAAAAAGTGTAGGGAAGTTTGAAATGTAATTGTAATGTTAAAATGAAGGACAATTCTTTCTGCAGAAAATTGAGTTGATGATGTGGAAAACTTTGGA